AGTTTTCCTTCCTTTTCTATGTTTTGGAATATTTTGAGAAGAAGAGGTATTAACTCTTCTTTAAAGTTTGATAGAGTTTTCCTGTGAAGCCATCTGGTCCTGGACTTTGTTTATTGGGAGTTTTTTCATTACTGATTTGGTTTCTTTGATGTTTATTGGTCTGTTCAAGTTTTCTGTTTCTTCCTGTTTCACTTTTGGTAGTTTATATGTTTCTAGGAATTTTTCTACTTCCGGATTGTCCAGTTCGTTGGCATATAGTTTTCCATAATATTCTCTTATAATTGTTTGTATTTCTGTGGTTTTGGTAGTTACTTCTCTTCTTCCATTTGTGATTCCACTTATTTGGGGGTCCTTTCTCTTTTTTTCTTGATAAGTCTGGCTTGCTTCCCCCTACCTCCCTCCCAAAGAACCAACTCTGATCTGTTCTGTTGTTATTTTAGTTTCTATGTCACTTATTTCTGCTCTTTTCTATATCACTTATTTCTGCTCTGTCTTTATTATTTCCTTCCTTCTGCTAATTTTAGGTTTTGTTTGCTCTTCTTTTTCTAGCTCCTTTAGGTGTTTAAGCATAGTTTGTTTGAGATGTTTATTTGAGATTTTTCTTACTCCTTGAGGTAGGCCTGTATTGCTATATACTTCCCTCTTAGAACCACTTTTGCTGCATCCCAGAGGTTTTAGTATGTTATGTTTTCATTTTAATTGGTTTCCATGTCCTTTTTTGTTTCTTCCTTTAGTTCCTGGTTGACCCATTCATCGTTTAGTAGCATGTTATTTAATCTCCATGATTTTGAGGTCTTTCCAGATTGTGGTTGACTTTTTTTTTTTTTTTAAAGATTTTATTTATTTATTTGACAGAGAGAGAGAGATGACATGTAGGCAGAGAGGCAGGTAGAGAGAGAGGGGGAAGCAGGCTCCCTGCTGAGCAGAGAGCCCGATTTGGGGCTCGATCCCAGGACTCTGAGATCATGACCTGAGCCGAAGGCAGAGGCTTTAACCCACTGAGCTACCCAGGTGCCCCCAGCCCCATTTTTGAAGCCAAACATTATGGGGCTCAGTCTTCCCCCCAGCTGAGCTCTCTGGTGTAAGGGCGCATTGCTCTGCCTTCTCCATGCACACAGCTCTCTCCCATCTGCAGGCAGCCTCCCTCCACCTTTCTGAACTTCCTAACCTTTCAGATCCTGCTTCTTCTGTTTATTTAGTTAGGAAGTTTGTTCTGCCAGTCTTCTGATTGCTCTCTGGTTTATTGACTTGGGTATGGTTGATACCTAGTTGTAAATATAGGGACAGGGAGAGCTCTGGGTCCTTCTACTCTGCCATCTTCCCCCAGACCGTGAATCTTTTTTAGTTTATTCTATATGGATGTCAGTGAGCTTCTTGGATGTGTAGATTCCTGTCTTTAATCAAATTTGGGAAGTTTTGAGCAGTTATTCCTTCAAATATTATTTCTGCTTCTCTCTGTCTCTGCTCTCCCCATGGGAGTCCATAATGCATATGTTGATAATGCCCCACAGGGCCCTTAGGCTCTGTTTATTTTTCTTCATGTTTTTCCTTTCTGTCCCTCAAACTGGATAATTTCAGTTGTCCTATCTTGAGTTCACTGATTTTTTCTTTTGCCTGAATCCTTCTAGTGAATTTTTCATTTAAGCTTTTATACTTTTCAGCTCCACTGTTTCTGTTTGGTTCTTTTCAGTAATTTCTGTCTCTTTTATTGATCGTCTGTTTTTGCTGGGAAATTGTTCCCCTGGTTTCTTTTAGTTCTTTGTCCATGATTTCTGTTAGTTCTTTGAGTATATTTAAGATAGTCTTTCTCTAGAGAGTCCGAGAGTCTAGGTTTCCTTAAGGCCAGTTTCTCTTGATTTCTTTTTTTCCTCCAAATGGACCATACTTTCCTGTTTCTTTGTATGCTTTCCAATTTTTTGTTAAACTGTTCGTCTTGAAATTCCAGTGTGATAATTCTGGAAATTAGATTCTCCTCCCACCACAGATTTTGCTGTTATTGATTGTTTAGTGCCTTTTCCAACTGTATTTCTTGTCATGGATAGTCTCTGAATTCTGTGTTCTGTTGTCTTCGGTCAACTCGTGACCTGACAGATTTCCTTAAACAACTGGAGCCCAAAAGACCAAATAATGATGATGATGAAAATAGTAATAACAACAACAACTAAATTTAAAAAGAAACTTTCCTATTTTTACAGATTGGCTCTGAGCAGGAGTACTTACTTCTTCAATGCTAAGCCAGGCTGTCTCTAACTCTGTCTTAGCCTTCACCTCTTTCTTGGACAGAATTCAAAGATTCAGCCAGAGGTATAAGCCTAGGGTTCTCTCATCTGAGCATGCATCTAGCCCTGGGAATATGCAGTGCACTCTGGATTCCCCAGTATATGTGATACCCCTTCAAAGCCCTTACTATTAAGAGAATCTTCCTCCTCAGCCTCCTTCTTCCCAGGCCTTTGGGTCTGTCTGCCGTATACTCCATCCACCATCCCTTACACCAGGTGATTGGGTAACATGGCCTTAGATGCTTTCATCAGATTCCACCCCAAAAGGCACTTTTAGCCTAAGATGGGCAAAACAAAGGTCAGGCTCGCCAGTCCTCAGGGAACCCCCCCCAAACAGGTCAAAGTGCACAAAAAGCTTTGAGAACAAGGTCCACGTTGGATCCTATGGCACCAGCAAGCCACACTAGGAACACAGGGTGCTGTCCCTAAAGCCTCAGTCCCAAAGCTATGCAATGGGGTTTGTATGTAGGTGAGGAAAAATGCTTTCTTAGGGAAATTTACCAGCCTCTTTCTTCACTGAGTGTCCCCTGGTTACTATAAGGTTTTTATTAGAGTCCAGAGTTCTAAAAAGTTGATTCCATTTTTGCCAGCTTAATGATTGCTCCAGTGGAAGTACTAATTCTTAGAGCTCCCTATTCTGCCATTTCTGTCACTCCCCCTCCCCTAATGTTTTGGGTTTGTTTTAAGCAGCTTAAAACAACAAGTATTTATTACCCCATTTAGCTTGTGAGGGTCAGGAATCCGCTTGCATCCTAGCTAGGTGCTTCTGGCTCAGCATCCCTCACAAGTTTGCATTCAGACAAGTTGACCAGGGCTCACCTCCTCTAAAGGCTCAGCTGGCACTGGATAATTCACTTCCAAACTCAGTGGTGTGGATGTCGGCAGATGGCACTACACTCACTCGGGCTGCTGGCCGAGGAGGTTCAGTTCCTCACCACACAGACCTCTGCATAGTGCTGCCCACTACATGGCCTGGTTTCCCCCAGAGCAACAGCTCCGTGAGAGAAAGGGATCTCCCCGGTGTTTTGATTGTTTTATTTATTTGTTTTTTGACGCTTTTTGTGTACTTTATCCAACCCTCAGATAATTGCACTCCTTTTGAGTGAGAGAGAAAATCTGAACCCTGGATAATTTCTTAGTGGAAAGGAATTGGTTTGCCCTTCCCCGGAGGCATTACCACTACATGTGTCCCTCAGCCCTCAAGATGGAACCAAGAGACCCCAAGAAACCTCACACAGCCTCGGAGGAGCAGCCGACCCTTGCAGTTGACCTCTTATCCCTCCCTCAGACTCCTGCCCTTCCTCACTCAGAAAGCCATGAAAATAAGCTTTCTGGACACCCAGGGCCTTAAAGATGACACTATAAACTGCTTCCCCATTGTGTCCCCTTGTGGTATGTTTAGTGGTTTGTTTTATGGAGGAAATGTGTCCTTTTTGGTTAAAAAATGTATGTGAGAGGTGAAGTGAGTGATTCTTCTAGAAGGGATGGTACTAGGCACAGAGGACTGCAAACCTGTGTAGAATAATGCCTGCTCTCAAGTAGTTTATCATAGAGAGGAGGAAATCGGACAGGAAAGTGATGAAAAATAGAATATCAGGCAGCATTTGTGCCTCAGAACAGTGGCTGCCACAGTATTGATAAGGCAGACGCTGACATTCTCCTAAAGTAATAATATGAGAAGCAGAAGGAGAATACAGAAGTGGCTAGGAAAGAAAGTGAAAGATCTTTGTGATCGTATTTGTCTTTCAGATCTGGTAGCATATTTCACAACATAATGATTGTTGAAAACTTTTGATTGTCCTGCTTACAGGACCGAAGCTTCTTCCTCATCAGTGATCAGTTTCATTCTCATTTATTTAGTTCTTTGCTGCCATACAGAAAGACAATTAGCATCCACATTTTTTTTTTAATTTGAGAAAGTAAATTAGGTTCATGTTCGCAGTTTTATATCCACTGTTCTAATATCATTTCAGTATTTACAGAAGGGTTCATAAAATGAATAAGCCATTGAGTCATAATAAGAATAGTAATGCAAGCCCAGTCTGCCAATTTGCTAGCTGCCATTTGTGCTTAAACATGATAATGCTACTGGTGTTCTTTTGTTTGAATGGATGCATCTGGAAGACAAGGTTGGGGGTAATCAGAGGGTCAGCCTCTTGCAAGATGACCTTTCCTTGGCAAGTGCATCTCTCCTCTAATGAATGAAACAGGCAGGTGTTAAATATCCCAAGCGATGGTAGTTCTGCATCTTCTCTTAGGTTATGATTGGAATTGGAAATAGGAGAAAGTGTATGTAAGATTTCTTTTTTACATTCAGATCTTAAGCATGCTGTGGACTGGAGTTTGACCCACATGTAACAAAACTGGAAAACTGTTCCTATATCCTAAAATACAGTGAAATCAGAGCAGCCTATACTCATTTTTATACATTGGAATTAAGCTGTGGATTTTTCTTTTTGTATAATTTAGACTGTTGTAGTTATATCTACAACATATCTACTCTGTCTTCATATCTACTCTAGTTATACAGTTTAATTATTTCAACTGGGGCTGTACATCTTATTTTTCCCCTTCCAAAGTATAATCCATATTACCTCCTTTATTAATATGTTTCTAATTTGAGTATGTTCTTTTTTTTTCTTTTGGCTACAGTTAAACTGTTTTTTCATTTTTTTAAATAAAAAGTGAATTCTGAATTTTCATTTAATTTTCCTTCCCTAGACAATTAAATCCCACACAGAAACAGATGAGAAACAAACAGAGAGCCGTACCATCACTCCACCTGCTGCACCCAAACCAAAACGGGAGGAGAACCCTCAGGTAGGCTCAGCCCTCCAAAGGCATGGTTCAGTCATGAGACATGACTTATTCTCAACTAACGAGGTGGGACACTTGCTGTCTGAGTCACTTGGTTTTCCATTTCTTGTGCTTCCTCACTATTCAGTAACATATTGCCAAATCAGTTTGGCCTAAAGCAGATTAAGAGTATGGTCTGGAGTGTCCATGAGCTGGCATACAGGCATTTCCTGCAACGTACAAACTTGAAATGTAAGATTAATGATAATTTTCCCTCATGATAATTAGATTTTGTCTCAGCCAACATTTCTAAGAGGTCCATCCAGTTCACTCGGCTAAGGTCTATTTATGTTATTGATTATAGTTGTTATATGTGCATTTTTGTTTCTACCATTGTATTGCACCAGATTCCCAAATCCCAAATGAATCAGTAGCCCAAAAGTTGTTCATTGAAGCATAAAAGTAGGGATGAAAATAGTAACATCTGTACTATAACTTAGGATAGAGTTACAAACTTACATAGCCAACAGGACTGGTACAATACACAATGTGAATTTGTGTGTCCCCTTAGACAAGAGAATTTTTTAGTTTGGTTCATGGATAAGCAGCTCTAAAAGAAAAATGTGGACAGGTAATATGATGATAAAAATCTGATAGTTGGATTTTATTAAACCAGCAATCTATTTCCTTCTGTCCTCTGTGCATTCTTTTTAATGAAACCATGTCAAATAGTGGCATGAAGCCATCAAAACTTCATGTCTTTTTTTTTTAAGTGATGATTTATTAAGTTAAGCCAGTTCAGGTTTTTCTAAAACAAGTATAAATTATAATTCTGATATGAAATGGATTTGGTTTTTTTAAATATATTTTTAGAGTTTTTATTATAATTCCAGTTGGTTAATATAACACTGTTATATTAGTTTCATTTCTTTCTTTTTTTTTTTTAAGATTTTATTTATTTATTTGACAGAAAGAGACACAGCGAGAGAGGGAACACAAGCAGGGGGAGTGGGAGAGGGAGAAGCAGGCTTCCCGCAGAGCAGGGAGCCTGATACGGGGCTCAATCCTGGGATCATGACCTGAGCCAAAGGTAGATGCTTAATGACTGACCCACCCAGGCTCCCCTGAAATGGGTTTGTTTTTAATTTATCTGTAAAGAAGGGACCAAAACTTGAACTAGAAAGAAGTACCAGTGATGCAAATTGCTGAGGAACTTACGAAGTCATCCACAAAATTACCAAAGAAAAAGGATATCTTATGTTGGTAGCCCAGTGTGGGCAAGCGAGCACCACTACCATGTAGAGTGGTAGATTATTCCCCTTCGAATTGGACAGAATCACTGCCCAAAAGAGAATAAATTAGTTTTTGGTATACGTGTGATGCCTACATGACGCAGAAGTTCTTGACAACTTTTTATTCTCTTTATCACTGAAAATCTGTTCCAGAGGAGAGGAGATTTTGTTTTTCCTTTTTTTCCTTTTTTTTTTTTTTTTTTTTTTTGGTGAGCTCCAAGTAGACTGGCAAAGATGAGTTGTTTGTGACTAGCCAAGAAGAGTACTGCCACTTGATTAAAAGAAGGTTTGCATCTGGATGTCAAACTACACGCTGCTCTACAGAGAACAGCTGGTAGACAGCCTTCTAATCTTGATCAGGTTGTGAAGAATAGTGAAAAGCAGGAATGTAGTTCATTGGCAATCACCGAGTGTGTGCCATTTCAACGTGCAGTGTGGAAAATGGGCAGCAGGGCTGAGAGAGCTTTTCCTTACCGAAGTATGCTGGCGGTCAGGGGGATAGGCTCCCACCTAAGTTTTTGAAATAAGAAGTAAAATAAAAACATTTCTTCAGAACTCTGAGCATACCAGTAAAGGACACTTCTGTGTTCTCAAGTGGCTTGTTCAGGGACTGTTTCTTCCTAAAATACTCAGTATCTTAAACAGCTTGAATCTCTCACTTCAGGCCAAAATACCATGGTATTGAATGTGGAGGGTAAGCTGTCAGGATTTTTAAAGACCAAACGGTGATACAGACAATTCCATAGGACTATGTCCTAACAGTTGATGATATTCTTTTCTGATAATAATCAGTGAGAGAAGTTGGTGATCTTTTGTTTGGCATATTTAGCAGCCACGTGCAAATGAAAACATACTTTCCAGACCACATGTGACTGCTGAGCAAAATAGGAATCAGTTTGTTGCTCTCTCCAACTCTAAGCATCTAATGTTCCAGCTTTGGGATTCAGTTTTCTAATCAGTGGAACTTCTGATGGAGCCCTAAGTGGTCTCCAAAGAGGGATTCCTCCATAATTTTTAGGTCCATGTTTGATTTTAAAACCATAGTATTAAGCAGAACCATCAGCTATTGTTCCTAAAACTCATTTAGCTTTGAGCTAGCATTGTCCAGTCGTTGGTAGTAAAAATGTAAGAAACCCTGGCCTGCTATGACAAGTGAAGTTGGAGCTTGTTGTATGGGAGGCTCTTTTTTGTAACCTCTGCATGTTTTCTGAGTATGAAATCCTCTTCCCTGTCAGAGGATTTTTCTGGAAAAACAAACAAAAAAACTTAGGGCACTCAAAGATGCTGATTTCTGTCATTGAGAAAGTAGAAGATGCAAGCCACAGTCCTTCTTTTGTGATCCTTTGAGACCAGAAAGCCTCCACAGTTACTCTGGAAGGTGTCTGTTCTTTGGTCACCTGAACCTGGCCTCCTTCCTTCACGTGACCAGCCCATTGGGCTGGCTTTGCCGAGGAGTCTAACTAGGAACATGCAATTGGCTTTGTGAGAACCCAAACTGAAGTACGTTCTTGTTTCTCTGGCACAGAAACTTGCCTTCATGGTGTCTCTAGGATTGGTAACACATGACCATCTAGAAGGTAAGAGAAGATATGGTGCTGCCTTGCTTGTGGCCCAGAGCTTTGTTCTTGGAAATGGTGTTGAATTTATTGTTAGAACGTAGAACACTGGAACGCCAGTAGTGTGTGATTCAGCTAGTGTGGCCTTTCTTTCCTTTGGAGTCAAACTTGCCTTTCCTCTACCTTCATCCCCTCCCCTCCCTGTTTTCATCCACACTGCTATCCAAGGGAAACTCCCCAGATGCTTGTATTAAACCGACTGCTGTTCCCTTTAGAGGAACTCTCTTTTTTCCCCTGACAGCACGAAGTATCAGATGCCCCTCTGACAAATCTTTGTGTTTTTCAATCACTCTGGGTTATCCAAATCTTAAGAAGTTACAAAGCTACACCTGTCCTAGTTATTTAACTCAAGAATGGTGAACTATGGTCAGTCTAGGTCTGTGGATAGAGTTCATCCACACCTGTATTCCAGTGAACTAAAAGTAGACGAGGACAGCTTGTTTATAAGTGTAATCTGCTGTTCAGCTCTGGGTCACAGAGAGCCACCCTGTGGGACAGCATGGTCTTGCTTTCTGAGAGGTGAGAATAGATGGCCCCACGCCTTTGTTCCCAGCAGTGTGCTTGCCTCTGCTCAGGCTGCGGTGACACAGAGAGATGTGCCCCCGTTTCTCATTTGTCATGGGAAAACCAAAAGATAAACAATGAAGTTCCGTTTTTGAGGTTCTCTATACCTCCCTTCTAATTCAAACCTTTTGCTTTCCCAAGAAATCCAAAGCAAGAGGCAAGAGCGAAAAAGAAGAACGACGGCAAATCCAGTGTACAGCGGAGCCGTCTTTGAGCCAGAGGTATTCCTGGCCAGACCTTGGCCCTCCCCTCTCTGTTCTAGTTTTATTTATGATTTTTTCCATCTTCTCCCATCTGAAAAACCTGCTGAAGAACAGTGCACTGATTATAGTTGGCCAGCTTTGTGAAATGATGGGTTTTCCTCGGGCTAATCATACTGTTTCATTTGTATCATTCACTGCTTTCCCCTTCGTTTTTTCCCTAAGTTGGAGTAAATACAAACCTACCTTAAAAATTTAACTCATCTTGGCTTAAACACAGCTGTCATCCGAAGCAGAGGCATACCTCTCTGGAATATTCTATTCTCTCGGAGCCAAGTAGATACACTAAAGCCCGTTAGCCCTGAGACCTTGGGTTACTCACACTCACTCGCTGGCGTGTTGGCAGGCATGCTGTGCGTGGCCATAGCTTATGCCGGTATTGGTAGGAACCGTGCTGTTCAGCTAGTTACCTTTCTTTCTTCAATCCTCAAAGCGTAAGAAGAGCGCAGTCACATACCTGAACAGTACAGTGCATCCTGGGACCCGGAAGAGAGGTGAGTATCTTTTTGGAGCTCTCCCTCGCTGTTGCTTCTGCTTTCTGTGTCGTGTTTCCTGCCCCTCCTTCCTCCCCTTGTCCTAGAGCCTGACTCCTAAATCCCTGGAACATAGTTTTGTTGTTGTTGTCCTCTGAAAATGGGGGGAGAAGAGAGGGAGACTTCTCCTTAGAGTTCTGTATACTGAACCGCAAGCTGCCTTTCCTAGGATTCTGGCAGAGCTGACTCAAGGAAATGGCTTAATACAGCATTTCTGCCCCAGGCCCATCAGGCTGTCCATGAATAGCACAGCGAACAGAACATTGTGTGAAAGGAAGCATTTTAGCATCATTGAGCAGAGCAGAGCACTGCTGTTGCCAAGGTGTTCTTAGTAGTGTCCAAGTTGTCCTGCTGCCAGCAAGACCAGAGCATGACTCGGGTCTCTGTGAGCTGCAGGCTTTCCAGGAAGAAAGACATAGCCACACTGAGGACTTAGAATCTGTGAGTTGAGGACTTCTCCAGCTAAGGAAGAGTAGGTCATGGTCGAAACAGGCTCCCTGAAGTAGAAGTTCCTAAAGAGCCCCATCCCATATTTCAGGCCTGACAGGGCGCTGGTGCCCCTTCCTTGTGGGCGGGGCAGAGGCAGCAGCCTTCCATGCAGGTCTGAGTAGGTCTTAATAGCTCTGGGTTTGAGCTTATAAACAAGGTTCTGAAATTGTTCTTTGATGTCAGTAGTACATCCCAAGTTCCCTTTCTCCACATCATAATGTGTCCCTGAATTATAGTTCCAGGCTAGAAAGGTTGCAGAGTGAGTGGAGTAGCATACTAATTTTTGCATAAGCACATGCTGTCTCAGAGCTCTTGGAAGCCTAGGAGGTTATCCTGACCCTTTTCTTTTGTCTGCCATAGGCAGGGCTGCAACTGTACCATTACCACCTCCTCGCCAGATCAGATCGCGTACCCCCCTGCAGCGACCCGTTCTAATGGTTCATTACCTACCTGTCCTCTAGGTGGCCGCATATATTTCCATGGGAAATCCTAAGTCGTTCCTTCCTGTTGATTCCTGGGCCACAGTAACCAGTGTCGTGGGTTACTTTTTGTTGTTTTGTTTTTGGTAATTTTTAGTGACCTCTGACCCAGTTCTCAGAAAGGAGCCCCCAGTCAGAAGCCAGTTAATTGGTGTGCTGGTGGGGAGTATCTGCTAAGAGGACAGGGGTTAAACGAGCCAAAAAGACCTTGGCCTCACTTGCCAAGGTCAGAGGATGAAAGCCTGTATTCACAATGCCTACGTGTGCCTTCTGCGGGTAAACAAAGAGCATTCATCTTTCACTTCCCCTTTGGGCAACCCTAAATTCCCTAGAAAAGACAAACCTGTATGTTCTGTTTGTACTGCAGACATTGTCAGTTTAACACAGATAGGTAAGATTTGTGTAATGTCTGACAGAATCGTGACTCTTGTGCATAATCCTGACATAAATTACAACTGTTGGCCAAGTTGTGAACCCCTGTACCTTTCATCAGTGCTTGTAGGCAATTGTGTGCCTCTCTAGCTTTTTTTTTTTTCCCTTTGCTGTGCTGAACATATACTTTTGATCACTCAAAGCTTAAAAGCTTTGATCCTGGTCCTTCTGACAAGGACCCTGGCTTAGGTGTATCATAAAGCAGGAGTGGTTGAACAGTGTTGCCACACCTGTCAGGGTCCATTCATAGATCCTCTGTAGCCGTGGGGCTTGATTCCCAGGGCTCTTCCTCCAGCCAGTCTTCTAGTGGCATTGCTGATGGCAGGGTCTTCTCTGAGATTTGCTGACAGGCCCCAGTCTTTAGATATGGAGTTCACCAGAGCGTTCGAGACGGAAGCGGGGAGACAGTTGTTGAGCAACTGTGGAGGGGATCTGAATCCAGACATACTTAAAGTCATTGTTAAGATCAGATCATCCTTTTAGCTCTCAGATTCCAGCTAGTCCCAGGACATATTTCTTCTAGCTCGATCAGCAAGGGGTAAGAATAGTTAACTTGAATTTTGCCTCCTCAATGTGCCTTCCTCCATCCTCACAAGCAGTGAAATGACCAAAATATAGATAGGAGAGAAAAGGAAAAAGCAGAGATCCTAAATAAACCCATTTGGGGGAACAGGGACTCATTACTGATTGCAAGGATGATGGTTAACAGAGAAACTTCAGAGAACAGTATGTAGAAGTGGTGGAAAAACAAACTCCTATTCCTAGCTGTGGCCCCTATGGAGCTTCGGTGTCTTATTCTCACCCTAGAAATCTCAAATCATAATAATCCAAGCGTGTCACTGTGATCCACCCAAGGCCAGGCCCTTTGACATGACGCAGCCCTCCTGTCATTCTCTAAGGCTCTCTTATCCTCCTCTCTTTTGAGACTCATGCAGTTGTTTCTAATGACATTTAAATCTTTGCTTCTCTTCCTCTCTTTGAGACTGTTGTATTAACCTTCTGTCTGCTACCTCACTTCCTTTTCCATGCTAGCCAATGAGGAACACTGGCCAAAGGTATGTAAGATCATTTTTCCCCCTTTCTTTCCCTCCCCCTTTTTCCCCTTTTGTTCCCTTCTCTTGGTATATAGGTCGTCCTCCAAAATACAATGCAGTGCTGGGGTTTGGAGCCCTTACCCCAACATCCCCCCCATCCAGTCATCCTGACTCCCCTGAAAATGAAAAGACAGAGACCACATTCACTTTCCCTGCACCTGTTCAGCCTGTGTCCCTGCCCAGCCCCACCTCCACAGACGTAAGTAACTTGGGAAAAGCACGCTCTCTTTCTGAGAGCTTAAACTGGGGAAACCGTTATCATGTGTTGTGTCCTTACCAGCTGCATCTCCTTGACTAACCCTGGAATAGCAGTAATCCCTACAGGACACTAGACCACGGAAGGCAGCCTCGTGCTGGGGCCCCAGGTCCCGCATGTCCTTGAGAATCACCTACAACATCAGGAGGCTCAGTCAGAGTCTTTAAAATCTGCATTTGGTCTGCTGTGAATGAGCTCTCAGGAAGACAGATGGGGTGGGAAGTCAGCTCATGTAGTTGAAAGTTGCCCAGGTTTCCATCGTCCGTGTTTTGGGGTGAGGGAAAGGAGCAAGGCACGCTATGGTGCAGCAGTCCTTGCTTCCTGCTTCAAGCAGAATTCCAGAGGTGGAAAACTTTTCTTTCAAGTCACTTTATTCAGCAGAGCGGACCAAACAGGTTCCTGGAAAGTGTCAGATACTTAGTAGCCTGCACGTGGAAACTGCAGGATTCGAAGCTAGTACCCTGAGATTTCGTGTTTTTTGTTTTTATTTTACTTAATTTTGAAGTTTTTAACTTTAATCCCAGTCTAGTTATCATACAGCACAGTTATGAGGTTCAGGAGTACAATACAGTGATGCAGCAGTTGGTTGCGCTACTCAAGGCTCGCCACGTTAGTTGTGCTCTTGAGTCCCCTTCACCTGTCTCCTCCATCCTCCCAGCCCCGCCCCTCTGCTGACCGTCAGTGTGTCCTCTCACAAGCGCACTAAGATCTTAAATGAGCATTTACGTAGCCGTGAGTTTAGTCAGCAAATACTTCCCCAGCACTACTCTGCTGGGCAGGTGCTGTGCTAGAGGCTGGGGACAGAACGGGGAACAAAACCAGCTGCCTGCCCTCCGGGAGCTCCTGTTACAGTGCCAGAGGCAGGCAATAAGCAAATGAACACATAAAAGGTAGTGGTAAGTGCTGTTGAGAAAACAGGGACAGAATTAGTGGAAATGAAGAAGGAGGGCAGCAGGCTCCTCTGTTTTACAAGGGGAGGGAAGAGAGAGCCTCTCTGGTGGGAGGTGGAGGGTGTGAGAGTGTGTCAGGGGGAGACCATTCCATGCAGAGGGAGCAGCAGTGTGGAAGCCGTGAGATAGGCCCCTACATAGGGTGGAAGAAAAGCTAGAAGGCCTGGACAGCAGGGCCAAGGGAGCAATGAGACAGTGGGAGATGACACTCCAGAGGTGGCGGGGCCCAGGGCGCAGGGCCTTGGGGCTTTTGCTTGGAGGGAGAGGTGGGGAGCGCTGGAGGGTTTTGAGGAGAGGAGTGATGTAATTTTTCAACTTTTTATTTTGAAAAATTTCAGACCTGCAGAGTAGTTACAAGAAAATACAAAGAACAAATATATACGTTTCACCCAGATTCACTGATTGTTACCATTTTGCCATATGCTCCCTGCTATACACACGCACACACGCATGCTCTTTGGTAAACTAGTTAAGGAGTTGCAAACACCATGAATCTTTACCCAAACCCTTCAGCGTATTTCTTCTTCCAAGAACAGAGGTGTTCTCTGATAGAGTCACAAGGCAGTTATCAAATTGAGGACACTTAATATTGAGTAGATACGATTCTGTAATATATATTCCGTATTCAGGTTTCTCCGGTTGTCTCAGTAATTGCCTTAGCACACTTTGGGGTTTTTTGCTCCAGAATCCAGGTTAAGATCACTCTTGATAACTGTTGTCATGGTATTCTCTCTTCCGTCTCCTTACTCTAGAGCAGTTTCTCAGCCTTTCTTTGTCGTTCATGACACTGACAGTCCTTAAAAGGTAGGCCAGTTGCTGCATAGCGTGTCCCTCCCATTTGTATGATCTCGTTGTCTCCTCAGTAGACTCAGGGTTTGCATTTTGTAGGTACACTGATTGCGTGATGGTGAGTCCTTTCCATGACAGGTACCACGTGCCGTCAGTCAGTCTGTCCTGTCGTCGGCGATGTTAGCTTTCATCTTTTAACATAGATTGTGTGAAATTTCTCCACTTGTAAAGGTGCCTCTTTCTCGGACAGAGATAGTTTTGAGCTGTATAAATATCCAGTTTCCCAGCAAGCTGTTACCCAGTGGTTTTAGCATCTTTTGGTGGTTCTTACTATTTTTAAGGTGTTTACAGAATCAACGTGGATTTTAAAAGGACTACTGTGTCTGAAATCTGCAGAAGAGACTGTGGAGAGGATAGGATGGGAGCAGGAAGACCAGTTAGGAGGCAAGAGCTGAGGATGACTTGACCTGGTAGCGTGGTAGACCTAGGGCTGGAGGAGAGTGACCAGGTCTGCGTATATTTTGAAGAGCCAGCAGGAGTAGATGTGAGGTATGAGAGAAAGAGAATAGTCAAGGGTGAATCCAGAGTTTTCAGCCTAAGCAACCAGTAGGATAAAACTGTCCTTTCCTCGAGATGGCAAGAGGAGTGGGTTTGAGGAGGGAAACCGAGAGTTTCATTTTATACATGTCCCATTTCTTTTGTGAATTACAGAGTTTGTCTTTAGGATCACCTTCAGGTAAAAGGTCCCTTGAACTGGAAGGTTCTTAGTGCTTACTAATGAACTACCCTTTTCCAAAGAACAAAAGAATTCCATATGTACATTCTGAGTTTAAATTCTACAAGCAGCAAAGGAAGTGTCCTCTTTGCAGGACCAGGTCATAGTGGAGTTCTGTTCTCTGGTGGCCTTCCTTCTTGTACATAACTGGTGACTACAGATTCAGCTCTGCTCTTGAAATTCAGAATTTCATCCAGCCCGCCTGACTTTTGGCATGAGTAATTGATGCAGGTTTTCTACCCGTCCGAAGTAATGAGGACCAGGGGTCCTTGTCAGAAACCTTGTTTGCTGGCACAAAAGATTGTCCCAACTTCTCTACAGCTGAAGCATTGCTGGAAGAATTGGCGGCCTCTGACCTCTTGGTAGGGGTCTTCCACAGAGTGGGATACAAATGCGGGGGAACAGGTGATTCTGTGGTTCTGTGCGTGAGTCTCTTTCCAAAGTGTTCACCCCTGATGGGGATCTGTGGCTTTCTTTGAGAGACTGAACCCCAAGGATCTATTCAGATCAAATAACAAAAGCTTCTGCCAGGTTTTGTCTTAAAATGCAAACACTGCACTTTTCAGAAATCTAAAAGTAAAAGAAAGCTTTTCGAAAACCACTAAATACGTTAGAACTTTCTGAGTTAAACCTAGTGGAATGGATTTTTTTTTTTTTTTAAAGATAATTGACTTCTACTTTTACAGTATCCCAACAGTAGCAGTGATTAAAATCAGCACACAGGATTCTGTATGTTTGCTGCTGGGTAGAACAAGCCCCAACAACATTAATTAAATAATCACAGCTGAGCAGCAAGCATTTCCTGGGGATCAATAACCGTCTAGAAGGACCTGGTAATGCAAAACCCAGCCAGACACTAATCCTCAGCACATACCTCGTTGCCCTTGCACTTTGTGAGAAGGGAAGATATGTTGACACAGTTAGACGATTCTTTCAGCGGATGATGAAGTTGCAGTAGATATAGCCAGGGTGTTTGCAAAAAACATACACACTCGGCTCCTATCAGAGAATCATGGGTCACCATCTTTCAGTTTAACATTTGGTTTATGGTAGCAAAGCAGTCACCAAAGCCGGAGCCTTTTGACCGGGAGCAGCACCTCCATGGTGCTCTCTTAAAGCTAAGCAGAGAACCCGTTCTGGGTGGATAACATCTGTACCTGGTCATTGTATTATTCATTTCTTTGGGCAGTCATTGTCCAGGTGTGGTCCCTGAGACTCTTTTCGGGGTCCATAAAAGCAAAACTATTTTCATGGTAATACTAAAATATTCTTTGCCATTTTCATTCTCTTTCTCTCAAGAGTAACCAGTAGAGTTTTCCAGATATTACCTGACCTGTAACGACGTCCTAACTCTGAGGGCTCATGGAATGTGCCCTTAGTGTGTTCTGGGGTCTGACGGTTTTTCAGTACACTGTTTTTGTAACTTCCTGTAATTCTGTAATTACTTCAAAAATGAAAACTTGAAACTTCTAAGTCTAACTCAAATAATATATAAATAATATATAAGCATATATTATTTATATATATAAATATATATTATATATAAACATTTATATATATAAAATACATATAAATAAATATAAGTTTTAAGATTTATAAAGGGGTCTGACACCGAACAGACAGAACTATTGTTCTCGAACATGGAAATAGGATAGGACGTCTTCTTCTCTTTAGAAACTTGAAAGAAATTATTTAGCCTTTATTTACATACTGTCTGGCCTCCAGTTCTTGCAGTGCTCCTCTCAGGAGCAAAAGACAGTGAGAACTCTTGAGCCAATGGAACAAAATGTCCATTTTTGTTTTGTTTTGTTTTGCTTTGTTTTACTGCATCACTAGTAATTTATCTTGAGTTCATCTGACAAGATCTCTGAAACCTTAAAATTTGTATAAACTTCATAAAGATGCAGACTCACACAGGTTCAAGAAAGACTGTTTCTCTAGAGAAGAGTGCCGTTCAGCCTGATTTTAACAAAAGAAGAAAGTTCCGTTAATCGAGGCATGAACCCTTCACCTCTTTAGCTGCCTCAGAGCGGAACCTTGAGGCCGCACACTCATGCAGTATTTTTGCTCGTATACTACTTTTTATTGCCCAGAGATGACATTTTCTTACTAAGAAAGACTAAAATTGGTCCACACTCTGATTATCTTACAACTTTTTGCAGCCAGTTTTCTAGGCTCTGGATACCTCAGTGAATTACAGAGAAAGTTTCCTTTTCTTTAGAGAGAAACTGTAGGTCTGGGAGGCGTTCCTCCAGCAGTGGTGGCTGAGGGGTTAACAGCATAGGAAGGAAGACTCGAGCATTGCGGTCTGTGCAGAGTTTGTGTATCAGGCCTTCTGGCAGAACAGCCTAGAAACGTAAAACAACACACCGGAAGCGAAGACGGGGCTCCAGGACATGGCCCTGCGTTGCCGGCCAGCGTCTGGCACGTCCCCTTCAGTCTTCCTTCCTGTGTGCCTTTATCAGTCCTCTTCCCAGAACAGGCCAGGGATGAACCTGCTGAAAAATACCTTTTTCCTAAATACCTTTTTTTGTTGTTGTTCCAGCGTTCTCCTTCTGTTCAGAAGGTCCAACAGACTTAGAGCGGCAGCACTGTCAGTGCTGGGGGCTGGGAGACAGGCAGGGGACACTGGGGCTGCTCATCTTTTTCCGTCTGGTGACGTATTTTATGGGGAGGAATAAAAAGCCTCCCAGCATAGAATGGTCCGTTGAATAGCAAATGCCAAATAGTGGTTTTAAGAGAACATTGTCAGCTGTTGCTCTGGCTTTTAAATTCTTCATGTTAGAAAGCTCATGTGAGTTTAATTTGTTCCTGACTTAATCTTTTACTATTTGTATGTGCACTGTATTTTTTCTCCCTGAGCAAGCAAAGAATTTAGTAAAATTTCATTTTTTAAAAAAAATTCCATTTCTTATCTGTCTTCTTTTCCCAATCCTGTACTCCCCTAAAAATGATGGGTAACGAGAATTGTTTGTATCATATTGTGGAACACTTTGATGAATGGATTTCAGTGGTTCAAACTTTATGATTTGTGGGTTGGACTCTACCAAAACATAATTGCTATAAAGTGAATTAGGGCCATGGTGATTACACGGCTTTTCTGGAAACTCTAGTTTAAGGATACTGCCCCTGCCCAGGGTCAGCTGTGTGGACAAGTGGGGGCTGTGCCACTGCTATTTCCTACTTTCCTCGAATACTTTTGTAACATGTTGGAGGGGGCACAACTGGTTGTCCTGAAACATACATGTCCAGAATGTGCATGTCAGCATTCACATTTCACCTTTTTGTCCTTTCTCTTACCTTTCCTCTCCATTTCCTAGGGTGATATCCATGAGGATTTTTGCAGCGTTTGCAGAAAAAGTGGCCAGTTGCTCATGTGTGACACGTGTTCCCGTGTGTATCATCTGGACTGCTTAGACCCTCCTCTGAAAACGATTCCCAAGGGCATGTGGATCTGTCCCAGATGTCAGGACCAGGTACTCTGAGTGGGTCAGACAGAGTGATGGGCTCAGGAGGAGACGTGCGGTCAGGAGCACCTCCTTTCCCCTCAGATCCGGGGGCATGGCGAGTCTCTTCCCTCTCCTGATAGTTCCCCTGGCCGCCTCTGGTCTGTTCCTGGCACTGCAGTCAGCCATGTAGTGTCCGTCCTCTCAAGCTTCTCTGTCCTATGACTGAGGTGGTGAGTCTGTGTATAGGTGGAAAGACTCTTAACTGCTTCCCTTTGTTTAAAATGACTTATCTTCTCATGACCTTGCTCTTTCAAAGCCATAAGACTTTCTGCCTCTTTCTCTAAGAATGGTCCAAACCCAGTAGGTGGTTTGAGACTCTTCTTTTGGACATAAAAACCCTCAAAGGAAAGTGCCCAATTGACTGTTTAATTCAAATAAACAACAGTTTCCCCTTTAACCTGTGTTGTCGCCGGGATCAGAGAACTAACTGTAAAGTGGCCATCTTGCTATTTCATGGACTTGAAAGGCAAACATTAACTGTCCTAGCCTCTTCCCTTCTTCTCTGTTTAGTTTCTGGTTTCTTTTTCTCAGCTCTCCACGTACCTTTATGTTTTTATGATAAGCTCTCTCAGCGTTTTTTGGAAGTAGGCTAAGTATAAATAATAAATAGACCAAGTAGCTTAGTAAGCTTTGGGATGCTGCTCAGTTCTTTGGAATCCTGTTTGAGAGAATTCTGCTTTTACCCTTTTATTTTATTTTATTTTATTTTAAGATTTTATTTATTTGACAGAGAGCAAGCGAGAGACAGAGAGCAAGCACAACCAGGGGGAATGGCTGGCAGGGGAGAAGCAGGCTCCCTGCTGAGCAGGGAGCCTGACAATGGGACTTGATCCCAAGAGCCAGGGATCATGACCTGAGCCAAAGGCAGCCGCTTAACTGACTGAGCCCCCCAGGCACCCCAGTTTTCCCCTTTTAATCCTGGTCTTCATCCTACTGTCTTCGAGAGGTAGTAGAGACCATTCTCTCTGTGTTCTCTCCTGATGCTGCTCTGTGACCGTCTGATAATTTTCTACACAAGGTCTAGATTATGCTTTAGTATTTGGAACTAATATTTAATTTTCTTGGTCAGGCTATCTTTGAGGGTCATGAAAAACATAAATTGAGACATGCCGATCAAGGATAAAACTACCAGTGGTTGCTGCTATCCTGCAGGCCTGTGGCTTGTCTGCCGGTGGTCCTGGCTGTCAGAGCAGTTAGGCCTTTTATGTGGCATAGATGAGAAGCTGGGAATGCCCAGCCAAGTCCCAGCCTCCTCCCAAGCTGGGGCCCAAGTGCCTTGGCTTTTCCTGTCATTGAACCTCATCCTGTCAGGAGTATCTGGAACTTCATAGTCTAGAAAGTATAGACCAGGGTTTTGCAACCCTGCCACCATAAGTCCTTCCTGGATTGTGTCTGCCAATAGCTACAGACAGTGTTGCTTGTCACTACACAGGGGATATGTTTATGCCACCTTTCAAGGTAAAATTCTGACCCTCATTTCAGATGCTGAAGAAGGAAGAAGCAATTCCATGGCCTGGAACTTTAGCAATTGTTCATTCCTATATCGCCTACAAAGCAGGTAAAGAATCATCCTCATCCCCTTTTGTGTAAGCCTCCCCTTGCTTAAAAAAAAAAAAAAAAAAGTATTAGAAGGTTGCATTTGTTTTGCTTTCAAAAGGAAATTTAAAGTTAAAAATGAATAGCTTTTCTTAAAATAAAAAGATTGTGTAGTATTTTCTTGGGGCGGAAGTCCTACTTAGAGCCAGGCCCACACCACCGCCAGTCTCCTTAGCGTACCTGGCCGCACACAGAATATGGGAAGCTCTAGGTGGGCATGATCTGCACGCCAGCTGGAGCGCAGGAGAACTTTGGGCAAAATACCTTCTTTGGCTAGCATTCTGAACACAATGGCCTTTTCAAAGAATTTACTGTTAAAAACAGTTTCTTTTTTTTTTTTTTTTTTCAGCAAAAGAAGAAGAGAAACAGAAATTACTTAAATGGAGTTCAGACTTAAAACAAGAACGAGAACAGCTAGAGCAGAAGGTGAAACAGCTCAGCAGTTCTATAAGTGTAAGTAGAGCTCGTGCCTTCAGCTGTGGCTACAGACCGGGGCCCTTGCACGGCCTCAGTCGTCCGTGTGGCTCCCGGGGCGGGTTCAGGTCCGTCAGCTTACTAACACAGGAGACTTGGGGTGGACGCAGAGTTTGCCTCCAGTTACAGTCTGGCCCTCAGGACAGGTGGCCAGTTGGTATATGGTGCCTTCACCAAGTTCTGGAACCTCCCACTGGCTTTTGGTCTGAGAGAGGATTTTCAGTCTCCAGGCTGAAGAGATGCTGTAGCAGCTACAGCAGGATGGCCATACCCGTGTGTGTTCCTCGGTGGGTTTGGGAGGAGTGTGAAGCCTCTCCCCGTGCCAGGGAAACACAGATCAGGCCCCTGCATAGAAGCTTTCTCATCGTCCTAGTTAGTGGTCTGTCTGCATGGCCTCTCGTTCCCGTCCTTTCTTCCACACCCTGCTGATGGCGTCTATCCAGGTTTTCCTGACCAGCCTGAGGAAGAGAGGTTCCTGGAGACAAGTACTGGAAGTAAATACTGCCCAGCCTGGCCTGTCCAGGTGGAGATCAGATTGTATTTGCAGCAGAGATTCTGAGGCCCCTTCCAGAGCAAGTTTTACTTCTCGTTGAGTGGGTGCCCCTCCCCTTGTTAGAGCCGGGTGGCCTCAGCCCTCGTGGACAGCAGGTGGGACCCTGGACTTGGTGGCAGTTGGGCTGTCCCACTCGGCTGCCTTCTCCTCATCACCATACTCCCCATGGCATGCGGGTTTTGCATCTCTTCCTGCCTAGAACAGAAGCCAGGAGCTGTGGGAGACCTTGAGCAAAAGGGCAAAAGACTCCCGAGTCCATGACCGAGCAGAAGGGTTTCTGTTGGCTGTAGTGTTTGATTCTCCCAAATATCACTGTGCCGCCCCAGGCCGCTCTAAATTCTTGCCGACCAGTGATCCTCAGTAGCCCTCCGATGGGACCCAGGTGCCACTGGCTCATTTTCTATCCTCGAAAGCTCGGCCCAGTCCTGAGCACGTTAGCATCCATTTGCACGGCAGAAGCGTACCAAAACCTGTCCCAGCAGCCTCAGCACGGCTCTGGGAATGTTGTTTTTAAATTGTTTTTCTTTTGTAGTGTTAGAGTGGTAATTCACATTTGGTTTTAAGTCCTAGTGTCCTAGTGTCAAGCAGGGTTGGCTTTTAAAGCACGCACTTGCACTCTCCCTCCTGCCTGTCGGGCCTCCTCCTTCCGTTGGGCAGTAGCGCTGCCTCCAGTGCAGAGCAGAGCAAGGTCTAGGGGCTGCACACCAGCCAGCAGGGTTCTTTTCCCTGGAGAGGGCCGCCAGGCCTGCCAGAAAAGCCACGGAGGCTCAGTGCCACTTCCCTTCTCATTTGCTGCAGAAATGCATGGAAATGAAGAACACCATCTTGGCCCGGCAGAAGGAGATGCACAGCTCCCTGGAGAAGGTAAAGCAGCTGATCCGCCTCATCCACGGCATCGACCTCTCCAAACCTGTAGACTCTGAGGCCACTGTGGGGGCCATTTCCAACGGCCCGGACTGCACCCCCCCTGCCAACGCCGCCACCTCCACGCCGGCCCACTCCCCATCCTCCCAGAGCTGCACAGCAAACTGTACCCAGGGGGACGAGACTAAATAACAGAGCCCCGCGAGGAGAAGCCACGGGATCCCGGCAGCCAGGAGAGCAAAAACACTGAAGACTCTAGAAAAGCAAAGCCGGATTTCTTCTGGAAAGTACAGAATTCTTTTGGTTCTTTGGTTCCAGAGAGAGAGAAGATGCTTGTGCCAGGCGGCACCAGAGTTTGCCAATCGATCCTTCTTATTCTGTGTGTACATGCAAAGATTGGACCATGTTACATGAAATAGTGCCAGCTGGAGGTCCTTTGCCAGCACCATGCCAAGTGAAATAATATATTTACTCTCTCTATTATACACCAGTGTGTGCCTGCAGCAGCCTCCACAGCCACCATGGGTTTGTTTTTGTTTTGTCGGGTGGGGAGCAGGGACGGGCGGAGGGAGGAGAGCAGGTTTCAGATCCTTATTTGCCGAGCCGTTTGTTTAGGTAGAGAAGACAAGTCCAAAGAGTGTGTGGGCTTTCCTGTTTCTAAACCTTCACTACTATAAAACCAAAAAAAGGAAATCGAGATTTAACCAACCCCAGTGCCCAGAGGAGGGATGGGAGGGAATGGGGGGGAGCCGGGGTGGGAAAAGTCTATCAAATAAGCAGTATTTCCTATTGTCTGGGGTGGGGCCCAGTGCACGGAGAGGGGGGACACCGAGGGCAGCCACGGGGTCCTTCTCCCGCACACCCCACCTCCCGCCCTGGGCGCCCCCGCCACTCCCCGCGCTCCTTCCCCGCTTTGGCAAATTGGCGTGCGTCCCGTGAATGGTCACCTTCCCTCTCCAAGAACAGGCAAGAGGCCGCCCCAGCGGGCCATTGCTCGGGGCAGGGAAGAAGGGTGTGTGTGTCCAGGAAGGAAAAAAAAAGGTGGATCAGTGATTTTTACTTGAAAACAAGCTCCATCCCTTTTCTATATTTATAAGAAGAGAAGATTCTGAGCGAAGCAGCACGCGACCCAGGTGTGTGTGAACTGAATGGAGATGTTTTTTTTTTTTTTTTAATTTTTGTTTTGTTTTGTTTTGTTTTTCTTTAAGAAAAGTTTTATTTTGTTGTTTATTTTACTTTTTTGGTAACAAAAACTAAAATAAGGAATAGAAAAGCTGTTTTTCAGGCTGACAGTCAATTAAGGGTAGTCGAGGCCGTGCATGGTAGGGTAGGAGTCATAGTGTCAGTGAGGTCCAGTGAGTCCGTGTGAGTCCTTGTGTCATCGTCCGGGCACTGTTTTTTATGCAAGGGCAAAAATCTTTGTATCTGGGGAAAACAACAACAACTTTTTTTTAAATTAAAAAGGAAAATAAAAGATATTGAGGTCTTCCTAGTGTTACTTAAATTAAGATCAAGGTAAGAAACATTGTAAAAAAAAAATTACAAAAGTGCTATTTGTTTCCTAAAAACAGTGATTTCTATTAAAAAGGTGTCAGAACTGGAGAAAATGCTGTGTAGTTATAATTTTTTAGCACAGAACCTGCTGATCATGATGACATGTTGCTGTGTTTGGTGTCTCAAGACTGGTGGGCTAGTGTCCATGATTTCTGTCCTCTGGACGGCTGCAGCCCTGATGGGCAGCAGCCGAGCCCTCCCACCACTCTCCTCTCCTCGGAAAGGACTGTCCTCTCTTCTTGGCACAGGGATCTGGGCTTCTGTTCTTGAAGCCCACGTGGAGTGTGGTTGGTATCAGGGCCCTACCCTACCCATTGTCTCCTCGGATTTTGCTAGAGCAAAAGGCTGGTGCCTAAATAAGATCCCTTCCTTTGGTGCTGCTCTCCGTCTTTCAGCCACCAGCATTGTGAGTGCCTGGGGGACAGCTTTGAAGGACATGGCCAGTGACACTCATTGGTGCCCATGCACCCTGGCCTTGGTGGGAGGGTGCAAGGGGCAGGCTGGCTGCATCAGCCCTTGGTGCTGAGAAAGGATGAAGGAGTGAGATGTCTTGAGGGTACATGGTGTCTCTGAGACAAAGAGCCCCGGGGTGGCCTTCGTGTCTGTCTTGCCTTTGAAGAGGTCTGACTCTGCAGCCGCTTTTTCTGCCTGCTGGCTCCTGGTACCCGAGATAGAGTTTACTGCCCTTTGCCCATCCACAAGCTTCCTGGGTGACCTTTGGCTAGAATCGCTGTGCTTGCCTCGGCGTGACCCGTCTCCTTCTTGAAAAAGCCAGGGTTCTGAAAGGCTTGGAACATTTCTCTCATCTTGCCCCGTGGGAAGTAAATTTTGTCAGGTGTGTGCTGTCGTCGGAGACCTTGGCCCGATGTTGTGTGGCCAATAGAAGGGAGGCAGGCGCTCCTCACCCCAGCTCTCCTGGGACAGCTCTATCAAGTCCGCCCCATACTGCATAATGGCCAGAGTCTAGAAGGGGCAGAAAAGGTCCCGTTAGTTTCTCCTTTGCCCGGTAAGTCCCAGAGATCCCCATTAGAAACCTGAAAGCAAATCCAAGAGAAAGGGACACTTCTTAGTCAAATATGCCTCATCTCTACTGGCCATTTCACCTTCCCAGGAATGTTAGGGGATTAAGAGTGGCTGCACAGGCCTCCGAGTCAGGCCCTGGCTGCGAGGTTGCCTGAGGGGGACAGGGAGCTCCCCTTTTCTCCTGCAGAAACCAAGGTGCTACGTCTAGTCAGGGGGCTTTGGCGATGCCTGCACTGGTTGGAGGCATGGCTGGCAGAGGTTCAGAGCCCAGCAGCAGGCTGTACGCCCGGTCTTAAGCTCTCCCACTAGACTTGTCTGGGCCCAGGGACTGGGAGTTGCCATATGATACCTGTCTTTTCTTGAAAGAAGTTAGGAAGCGATCATCACTAGAAGCCTTTGCTCAGGGAGGAGCTGCCTGAGAATTTTTGGGGTGTCGGCGGAGACGGGGGCGGGGGTGGGTAGAGCTAGGCATTGACCGGTATCTTGCCTGCTGCTGTGAGAACTCACACTCTGGCCTTGCCTGAGGTTGGGATATGGATTGTTCCTACCAAGCTGTTCTGTGAGCCAGCCAGCATGGAGTACGAAATGCAGCCCTGCCTCCAGGCCCCCACATTCTGGCCTCAAATTCCCAAACTCTACTTACTGCCAAGAAAAGGCCCTGGTCACCCTGTCTCCTTTTCCTCTACTGTCCTGCCAGGAGAAGACCGTCTCTCTGTGCCCTAGACCTTGGGTGCTTGTGACCCCCTGAGACACACATTCAGGACTGCCTCACCTGGGCTGTCTCCACCGCTCTCCTCTCCTCTCCTCTGCTCTCCCGCCATGCCCGGGCCCAGCTGCTCACAGGCACATCTCAGACCAGCTGGCTTGGCAGCCGCTTCAGAGGCTGAGGAGTGGCTGATCTGGCACGAGGAGCTGGCTGCCCCCCGGGCCCTTGATCAGGAGGCCAGTGGTGCAGGCACCGCACCCTGGAGCCGGTGAGCTCATGTTACTGTCCTCTTCCCGCCTCTCGCGTTCTTGCCAATGCCGCCCGCAGGTCCTTTTTCTCTCCGGGAGCCTGCTGGGTCTTGTCTCACCGCTGCTGAGCTCATCCAGAGTTGTGCTTTCTCCCTTCCTGATCAGGCCCCTTGGGGCAACCAGGCTCGGGGCAGCCCCGGTGGGGCCTTCCCGTGTGGGGCTGCACCCCGGCCACCTCCGGCCTGCAGCATCTGAGTGCCCGTTTCCCCGCGGGGCCGGCCTGTCCCGGCTTCTTCCTGGCTCGGGCCCGACAGGCGGTGCGAACTGGCACAGCAGCTGCCCCCACGCTTCTCTCCGTGAGGGGGACCGTCTCCCGCGCACGGAGTCTGCATGTCCCGTTGGCCCTCCAGCCATCTCTGAGACTTCCTCTTGGGGCCAGCAGAGCCCCTCTGGGCTCTCACTCCCAAGTCGCAGGACGCGCTCTAAGCGGTTTCCTCCCTTCACTCCCTTTTAGGGTGTGGTCTTTCTTATTTATCCAAAGGGCTTAATTTAGGAGACTTTTACCCCAGGGGTAAAAGGCTCTTCTGGGTAGTAGGGCGGATGGTGGCCCAGGTATTCTCCAGGCCCTGGGTCCTCCAGGTTCCATGGCTTCTGTTGGATAGGGGCAACTTTGCTCAGTGTAAAGGACTGTGGGCCTCACCCCCACCCCTCGGCTGGGCACCCCGGTGGAAAACAGGAGACCCGTTCGCACCCTGGCTTACAGCCGTCCTCGGTGTCCGCTCCTCTCCAAGGGAGGGGGTGGCCCCCGGGAACACAGCCCTGGCCCTCCGGCATTAGTGAAGGGGAGGCCACCAGGTCGCCCCCTCCAGAGAGCCAGGGTAGAACTGAAAAATCGCCCTCGAAGAGGAAGGGCAGGGCTCACAAATTCCGCTTTGCTCCCCCCTCCCACGGGGCCCTTCCTCCCTGAGGACTCCCCCACCCCCCACAGCAGCCTTTGGCCTCTGCGCCTCTGTGTCGTTGGGTCCTCAGCCCAGGGTAAGCTGCAGTCAGGCAGGACAGGACGGGCAGCCAGAGGTCAGCGAGCTCCGAGCAGAAAAGAGCCAGCCAGCCCCCAATCCTGTCTCTTGTCCACGCCCTTTGTGATTTCAGTCTTGGTAGAACTTGTATTTGGAGTTTTGTGCTTCAAAGTTTTTGTTTTTGTTTGTTTCATTTTTGTTTTGAGGGGGTGGGGGGGATCCAGAGCAGCTGATCAATTTGTATTTATTTATTTTAACATTTTACTAAATAAAGCCAAATAAAGTCTCTCAGCCTCATGGTGTTGGGTTTGGGGCAGGGGAGGGTGGGCAAGACATACTCGGGTCCCGGCCTTCCTGCAACTCCGGGGAGACTCAGCCCCTTCCCGGCTGACCCACACCCTCATGCCCCAAACCAGATGGAACATGAAAAAGAGAACTTTAATTACAAAAAAGGGATGTACAGATGAAGGTGGGGAACCAGCCCCAAACAGCTGGGGCACCAGGAGAGTAGACCCCAGCTGTAGCAGCAGGGGGAGGCCCCCAGAACCCGCCCTACAGGTGCTCCAACGGAAGCCCTTTCCAATGAGACCTTCAATAATTTAAGTAGCAGGGGGAGTAGGGAGGGTGGCCAGGTCGCTCCAGTGTCTACAAGGGAGCCCGCGAGAGCCAAGGGGAAGCCCAGGGGTGAGCCATGCAAGGCCCAGCCTCCAGGAGGTCAGGCGGGGCTTCGGGGCGGCTGCAGGGCGGTGAGGTATTTGAGGGCAGCAGCCCCGTAGTGACGGGACAAGTCCTGGTGGAACTCATCCTTGAGGACCTGGAGGCAGTCACGATAGGTGGGGCTGGAGCGGAAGCGAGAGATGTCAAGGCTCGGGGCATGCGGCAGGTGGATGGTGAAGGCCTCGGGCAGCACCAGGAGCTCGTATTCCTATAGGACAGAAGCAGACAGACACCCACTGTCTGTGCTGGGGGGAGGGCTGCAGCTCCAGGGGATGGGGAACAGGCTTATCTGATCGCCTCTAATAGCCAAAGTAAGGGTCAAAGGGCAGATTTTAGTTCTACACCAGTGAAATTTCTAATAGTACTGCTTAAGGGTGCTGTGTGCCAAGCCGAGGTATAGTGAGCTCCCTGGGCCTGGAGGTAT